GGTCAGACATTAATAATCGATCAGATCACACAGAGATGAACGGTCCTGGAGGACTCACTCGCCCCGCATGTCCTCCTCGGTGAACGGGACGTCTTCGATCAGGACGGCCGACTTGGCCGTGAAGAAGATCCCCAACATGGCCTGGAAGACACGAGCAGAGGGGTTCAACCTGAGGGGTGAGGGCCCAGCGGGGCCGCTCCGTGTGTCTGTGGGGACCAACTTTTATTTCTGTCAACAAATGTTTGAGTCCTTAAAATAAATGTGTGTAAGAAGAACCAAACATCATCCACACATCTTAAAAACTGATGAATGAAGAACAGACACTTCCTCCTCTGCAGCATCACGTGAGCTTTAATGACAGTCACGTGATCAGCTACAGGGACCCGTCTATTTCCAACCTGCTGGAATAAATGACTATAAATGAATAAATAAATAAATAAATAAATAAATAAATAAATAAATAACACTCTCCTCAGACTCCACATGCATTAAATATAAAATAAACTCATTCATATGATGAGGTTTAATCCTTAATGTTCCTGTAAATCCAGGATTTAGCCTCCTCTGCCTTATTTAGACCCAGCCTTCAACACGGGCTCCGTCTATCTCCTGGATTACAGTGAAAAAGCTGTGTGATGTTAACAGCCTGTCTACCTGACAGAAACACTCCTGACCGGAAACAACATGAACCTGTAACCGAGCAGATCAGTCCAGGAAGTAGTCGGGTCCCGTCACCGTGTCTTACCAGCATGATGACCCCCCAGATGCTGATGACCATCCCGCAGGCGGCCATCTTCGGCCCGCAGAACAGAAGCGTCGGCATGTCGCGGTGAACCGGTCAGTCGGTGACAGAGGGTTTGTTTTTCACGGTGAAACAGATGAACGAGTCAGAACCGAGTCAGAACCGAGCCATGAACCGAACGGACGTCGCAGTCAGCTGATCCCCGCCGCTCGGGAACTTCCGTAAAACGAGAACCCGCAGGCCCCGCCCYTTCCTGTACAACCAGCCAATGGCATTCAAGTTGTAAAGTAGCGCATTGTCCGCATCCTGTGTGCAGCCTTTGTTGTGTAAAGTGTAGTTTGTGATTTTAAACAACTCTTTACATGTAAAACATCTCATCGGCTGCGGTTCTTTAMGTCTTTGTGCTCGCGAGGCTTTGATGGGAGCTAGCTAACCGCAGCGAGCTAACTGAAGCTAATGCGGCTAGCAGCTAGCTTTGTGTTGTTTTTGTTGTGATTCAAACAAAAGAAGCTTCACAGAAATGACGTCTGCCTCTGCAAAGGTGAGTCTCACCTGTTTAATCTGCGGCCTGTAACCCAGATTATCTCTGTAAGCTCAAACTAACAGTTTACACTCATTATAATCTGGTTTATAAAGCTAACAGAGTCTGAGAACACCTAATTATTTTACTTCCTGCTTCAGCTACAAGTTCATTTACTGAGTTAAACCTTTAAATACATTCAGCTGAAAGCAGATTATTTTCACCACCCAGCAGCCGGGTCAGAACCGGTCCACCTGGGTCAGAACCGGTCCACCTGATTCTGACCCTCCTCTCTGCAGGTCGGGGAGATCTTCTCTGCAGCCGGAGCAGCTTTCACCAAACTGGGAGAGCTGACCATGCAGCTGCACCCAGTGTCTGACTCCAGCCCTGCAGGGTGAGGTGCACACACACACACACACACACACACACACACACACACACACACACACCT